GGGTTCCGCCTCCTCCTCCTCAGCATCGCTGCTCTTCATGTAGGATGGCACAAACTCAGCCGCGTTGGGATTGAGCGATGATTCGCTCAGGCTTCGACTGTTGCTCTTTATGCAGCAGTTACTGTCCTCGCTGCCCGCCTGCAGCGATTGGATGAAGTCCTTGATGAACTGTTGGTGCATCTCATTGCCAATGTCCATGTTAACCGCTAACTAATTGGCTGATAAATTGTTAACTATAATTGAAATTTGGTACTAGTGCACTCTGTGGGTATACAAACAATTTGCTATTTGTACGGTGCTATTTAGTTATAACATGGGTATTTTAGAGATATACATTTGAAATGATTGAATATATTGTAAAGCTGTTGTAAGCCGAAACACATATGTTGCTGTGATATGCAAGCCCATGCCTCAGATATTCCAAGCAACTGTGATCGACATAGACATATGTATACTCGTTTGAAAATTTTTCGAAAAATACCCTTTTTTTTATAGTTTTTGCTATTGCGTTATAGGTGCTAAAGCAGACATATAAATAGTTTAGCATAGACCAAAAGTTAGAAAAACAATATAATTCATTATCAATTTAAAATATTTTCATAAAGTTTTTATCACGAGAAGTTGCTCCATCTATTGTTTATGCTTCGAAGCTCACCTTAGAAAGCCATTAAGCATTTTTACTAGCGCCATCTATGCCTCAATTTCACATAGCCACTTCAGTTGCTTCTCTCAGGCTCTTATTGCCTTTTATGTGAATCGTTACGTTCTGTTCGCTTGCAGGTAAAAGTTGACGAATTGGATCCCAAACTAGCCTACATACAGGTCACCCATGTCATACCGTTCTTCACCAAAGACGAGCTCGATCAGCGCCTGAACGAGTTCGAGCAGAATCACGATGTGGACACATTCATGTATGAAACGCCCTTCACCAAATCTGGCGCAGCACGCGGCAGCGTGGAGGAGCAATGGAAGCGCAAGACGGTCATTAAGAGTAGGTTAAAGCTATGCATTCAGTTGTGATTGAGTGATGTATTATATGTATCTGTATATGTCTGCAGCCCGATATTCGTTTCCGTATGTGCTCAAGCGCATACCCGTCAAATCACGTGAGATCATCGAGCTGAGCCCCATTGAGGTGGCCATAGATGAGATGCAATCAAAGGTTTCAGAGCTGGAGGAGATCATTCTGCCGCCGGCCGATGTTAAGAAGCTGCAGCTGCGCCTGCAGGGCAGCGTGGCAGTTACTGTGAATGCGGGTCCCCTGGCCTATGCACACGCCTTTCTGGACGCCAAGGTGATCAACAACTTTTCGCTGGATCGTGTTGAGGATCTGAAGGACGTATTCCGGTAGAGACCAACTGTTTACTGAACACTGAGAATATGCTTGATTAATGTTAAATTCTTTTCGAACTGCAGGGACTTTATTGGCGTCTGCCACAAGGCGCTCTGCGTGAACGAGCGGATGATCAGTGCCGATCAGAAGGAATACCACCATGTACTGAAGGAGAACTATGAGAAGCTGTGTCAAGCGCTCAGTGAGTTACTCCAAGACGAGTCATTCCAGCCGCTTAGCGACGATGCCGACGCAGCCGCCCAGCGCAATAGCATGGCTTTATTCAATGCGATCAGTGGGGCCTCACATAACTCAAGTACAGCTTAAGTTCAAAAACAAAAAACAAAATACCAACAAAAAACCAAACAATACAAATACCAATACACACTTATACGCACAGCTACTAAAAACGGTTTTAACAAAGCAACGTAGAAGCGTAATTTGTAGCATTAAACTCTGTTGGGTGTTCCTTTTGTAATGATGTTTGATCTTTCACCTTTGACCTTTGATGTTTGATGTTGTCGTTATCGTTGTTGTTGTGGCAGGTAAACCTAGCAATGCGCCCTGTCCCCTGGTTTGTGTCTCATCTAACAATGCTAAACGCACGCATCCATACCACTAACGTCCAGGTAGTCATTACTAAAAAAAAAAAAACGAAAAAGCAAAAAAATATACGCAAACTAACCATAAACAATTGAATTACTAAAACAAAAAAAGAAACAAGCAAACATCTAACCTAACCTGTACTAATTGCTTGAACCCTATCGAATCGTCAGCCAATTCATGCATTTAATTCAATTTTACTTTCTGTTTTAGGTTTTGGTTTTGCCGTTTATTAAAGCCCATGCAAACCAGCAAATACCATATATATATCCCACACAAACATCTATATAGAATATTGATCTACATATACAATATACGCATATATTTATATATAAACGACATATATATATATATATATATCGACACGCACACATCCACTCACACAGACAAACGAAATTGTGACTAATTTTTCGACCAGTTGACCAAGCTCCAGTACACTCGAAAGAGAAAACAAAATTGTGAAGTTCATAAAACTCGATTAATTGTTATTAAATTTTAAGTAAATACATATTGTACATACATCTAAGAATGTTTTAACGATTGTAAATTTTGTTTTATTGATTTTAGTTTATTATTTATATATAATTTGTACTTATAGTTTCTTTTTACAATCATATACAATTATTTCCAGTGTGATGCATGCCTGCAGTAAAATGAAAATATTGAAATACCTAAACGTACTTCCTGTTTATTAAACTCAAGGATATCCTTTATTAGTATAACTCTGCTGTGTCTTCGATTTCAAAAATTGTTTGATAATGAAATTATAGTAAACAGACCTAACTAAATCTACTGAGAGCTGCAGAACTGTGAAACAAATAATCTATATTAATTGAAAATCAAAATATTTAGCTTGAATATAAATCAATGTATTAAATTTCAAATTTATTTTACAATACTATGCGTTAGTTAAGCAGCTCTACCAGAACAAATAATATACATATATGTAAACCTAGACCTAAGTTCCAGAAGCATAAACAGAACTTACCAAAGTATTTAAACAACATGAATATACAATATATATTTACATGCATTTTCTAGTGAAATCGAATACTAAATAAAATATTTGTTAAACATCAAAAGAAATGTGCAATAATTTTTGAAATTTTATTTTTATTTTTTTTTTACTTGCTTGGCTTTAACCAGTGTTGGGTAATTAAATAATGTTTCTTTTACATACGACAAATCATTAGCTTACGAATTATAAGTCCTGATCTGAAGTCAGACTGTTCTGTAAAATTAAAAGAATTAATTTACTGGTCCCTTAGTTCCATATGTCTCCCGTAATTATCTGCATATATATACATATATTGCATCAATATAGTTAATTTTAATCAGATTCTAATTGTCGGTCGCTTTCATGAGACTCAAGCGCTGCAAATGATCGTGAGAATATATATTCTATTTATGAAATTTGTACACATTCACGGCGATTACCTTTTGCACCTGTGTTTGGCGCATTAGGGATGTATGCGTGCTTCGCGGCACGAACTTCTGGCCACTAGTCAAACCTTTTTTGATGATTTGCCCTAAACTTTGTCGAGGTGTATGTATGCCTTTATTCGATTTTTTCCTGAAATTAGATATTTTATATGCATATATATTATATATGCGCCCGATTCAATTGATATATAATTGGAATACGTACTCAAACTTGGGCTCCTGCTTGGCATGCATGGTTTTTGCACGTGTCTCAGCCTTGGCACTGGACATCTTAATATTTTTCCAGTTTTCAGATGGAGCACTCATGTGCGCCTTGCTGGCGATATATGGCTTATCAAACGTGAGAAGAGTACCATTGATTGGCACTGGTTCCGGCAGCTGCTGCTTCGGATTTTTGGACATTGATTCCTTGGATGCTGTACTGCCCACCAGCTGTTGCACGACGTTGGTGTCCCTGATAGTGGCATTGGAGCTGGACTTGCGTTTGCTCTCCACGGATAATTTGCTCTCGATCGAATGTTTGCTACTCATCGATGACTTCACATCCAAGTACTTCTCATCGATTGGCTGTAAAGCAATTGTAGGACGGCCTGATCCCATGGAATCTTCGTTCCATTCCATCTTATCGTTAAGGACATCGCCCATGCGCACCATAAAATTGGCGGCCAGCACATTGGGCAGTCTTCGTGGTATTAGGGAGCAGTCGCTCACATCCAAATGTAGGGCCGCATCCTGGCAGAGATTCTCGTCGAGCATCTGCTTGCCGGTGACGCCGGAAATATCGGCCTTGAACAGAACATTGATGCCTTGCCCATCGGCTGCCAGGCTCACGTTGATCGCCTTGAGGGGCATGAACTTGTCGCCCATCTGGTGGAGCAGCTCGAACAGCTGCCTCTGGGCCTGCAAATAGGATGCATCGCCGACTACTTCACGCTGCACCAGCGTGGTGGTTGAGGTTGCCTCAGTTTTTGTCTTTTGCCCACTCGAACGCTTGCTATTATCGTTCTTACCACACTTCAGATACGAAGGTATAAACTCCAGAGCGTAAGGATTCAGTGACGATTCGCCTTCGCCATCGGACTCATAGTGATTTGGATTGGACTTGCTAAGTATGTCCTGTTTCGTTTCGCTTTTTGTATCCATTTTATTAGACTGCATCACTATGTCCGAAACGTATCCTCAAATGGGTGTGGTCAGTTATAATATGGACAGTAGGTAGTAACTAATCTAATAATTTATTATTTATACTTTAATGTGTAAAACTGTATGAGTGTTAAGAAACTATAGATGTGATTCAAATGCTCGGCAATTTGGCAGCTCCCATGTCAACTGTTCGATTTAAAAACTATGGCATCCTAGTGCCACTAAACAATCCGAAAGCTTATTTTCATTTGTCCCAATCGTATAGGAGCATCAAGACGCATCGCCGCTATTGTGGCGCCATCTATGTGTCAGATGCTCAAGCAACTGCAAAAGTTTCGCTTTTTATAGCTATTTGTAGGCGGCTAATTTGAAATGCAGCTAGCTAAATATTATTAAATGGAAAATTTGAAATTCTCTTCATAATTTATATGAGAAATCTCCTCCACTCTCTTTAATGAAAACTCGAGTGAACTTTTTGTTATCAGCTTCAATTGGTATATTTATTAACAATTTGTTTTTAAAATTATTTAACAATTTTGTTTTTCATGCGCGAATCAACACGGAAATGTTATTCAAAAAAAAAAATGAGAACGGAATTGGCCAAAAGCGCTGGAAGAGTATTGTATCAATCAATCAATCAATGCTCCGTTTAATGCTACATAAATATGTTTTCTCTTTTTGTTTTGTTTCCTTGTAGGCTTAATTTAAGTTTTACATTTTAGAATTATAAACGCACATTGGGATTGCGGGAGCGCACAAAGTTGAGCAGCTCGTCGGAGTCCTCGCAGACGAAGGGCTTGATGTGATGGCAGGCGACATCGTGCCACTTGATGCCATCGTTGTAGAAGTTGTTCAGAATGGACAGGCAGCTCTCATCGTTGCCCTGGGCCGCCTCACGATTGTCCGGCTGTGGCTGGTTGTAGCCACCCGTTGACGACCAGTCGCCGGTGTTGCGCTGCGAGGTGGGGCCAATCTTGGCGCCCGAGCCTGACCAGAACCAGCCGTTCTCATTGGGCGGCTGCAGGTCGGGCCTGTCGCACCCAGCGAAGTTGCACTTTCTGCCCGAGGTCCAGATGTAGCGTACATTGCCGCGCGCAATGCGCTGCTTCACAAAGTCATTCTCCTGGGGCGTCTCGAGTGAAACGGCGTCCATGCAGTGCCGCCGGCAAATGTTGCGCGCATCCAACCAGTCCACCTCCAGGCTGCGCGTCGGCGCATGCTCCCAGCTGAAGAAGTATGAGTGCGAGACGCCTCGGGCATCGCGGTAGGTGGCATGTCGCACACGATTGGCGCAACTGCGCGGATCGGGCAGCGCCAGACGACGCTGAGCCAGCGCCACAGTGGCGCTCACTGCCACCAGCAGCAACGTGCGCAGCACAAACATTTCGCAGTAGGCTTGGCTCGGCTGTTAATCGACGGGAGAAGTAAAGCTGCAAGCGCAAACAAAGTTATTTCGATTAGGCGCGAATTGAAACTGTTTTCAGTTTAGATTTAGATTTTATTTTCAGGTTTCCATTTTCATGTACTTTTCTGAGTATTTGCCGAGTGACCCAACGCCCAAAATGGTGCCCAACCCATTTCCATTTCCGCTTGGATGAGTCGACATCTTTTTATGCGAAATCAGTGATTGGAAATACCAGACCAATACACTCAATAGGAATCGAACCGATTTTGAGCGATTTTGACTGTGTGTTTTGTTTGGCTTTCTATATGGAATTTGTCGCTGACAATTGTTCAATTTGTTCAATTCGCCTAATTGAGTAGTTTTTTCCATTCCAATTTGTAACGGCCTTGCAGTGCAGTCAGCCCTATTTCGTAATCAAAAGAATTCTATAATCAATCGCAAAAATTCTGCTTGGCAACAACAGATGATCCTCTGTCGATTTGTTTAATAACTGTGCATGCAAATTAGTTGATTGTTTTATGCTTTTATCTATTATAAGTTATGGCTTTAGCCAGGCAAAATTGTATGCAAATTTTATGGTCTATTGATGACAGCTGCGCCACCTTTAAGACTCATCACACTTGCATGAGTCAATGGTCTTATATAAATATGTTTATTACAATTAGATCCGGCTTAAGCAGTTTTTTAAACATTTGTTAGGCAAATAAATTGGAAAAGAGGTGTATGAGCCATGTTAAAGCTATGCTAATAGGTAGGAGCTATATAAATTGACCTTGAGTTTACATTGATGGTAGACTGTGAAATTCCAGCTCGAACTTGAATATTACATAGTTGAGACAGGAGTATCTTTAGCTCATCTGTTTTAGAGTTACTGCAAGCTAAATGCATAACAAAAGAAATAGGCAATTTCACAGCTCATTGCTGAACTGTTTTATTATACATATATATAAAAGACAATTAAAAGAAATACTGTTCAAGTCCCACTCTTCTACAAACATTCAAGTCTGGTCTCTGGCCAACTCATTTTTAACAAACTACAGTCCGTTCCCGCAGAAGCTCTTAACCTTCGCCCAATTCCACTCAAAAAAAAACTGACCTGGCCTAATATAACACACAACAGCAGAGCTCTTACACTAAACAACGAGAGAACTAGGCAGAGTGCCAACACTCTCAGGCGGGGCACATGCCATGCCCGACAGTTTTCTAGCTCTGACATCGTCTGGGTTTGCATACCAAGTAAGACTTTATTTTTTCTTGGCTTTAATGGAGAAAGTTGCATTGCTGTAGTTGTTGTTGCTGTTGTTGTTATTGCTGTAGCTGTTGGGCCATATATAACACACAGTTGGCTGAATATTCAGCTGTCCAACTTGACTCTTCCGTCTGATAACAGAGCTAACGACTTTGGTTTCGTTTCGTTTTGTTTAGTTTTGATTTTTTCGTAGTATTTTTTGCTTTTTACATTTTGTGCCACGCACAATTGTCTTCAACTTTTTTCTTTCAATATATATATATATATATTTATTTTTTTCAACATTTTCACGGCTTGTAAATTTTGTAATTCAAATTTCCGTTGCCTCATTTGCGCTTCCTATGTGCATTGCACACGTCTTGGCTGGGCTAATTGTCGTGGGTAAGACGAAAAACAATGAAAAGTACAAAAAAAAGAGTTAAAAATCCAAAACCAAATTCGAATACAATTGAGAGCTGTCTCTTCTTTTTTTTTTTTTTTTTTTTTTTTTTTTGGCTGTTTGAAGAGGCCAATTGGAATTGTTGTTGAAATTTGTAAACGCTTATAAATTGTTATGCAATGATTGAATATTTCAATTTGTATTTCGTCTGTTGCGTTTGGTTATTTTTCAGGCACTTGTTAATTGCGTGGATCATTCTTCGTTTTTGTTTTTTTTTTTTTTGGAGAAAGGCATTTCATATGTGATCGCCCACCTAGGTTTTAAATGTGACTAATAATAAGCGTGGAGCTGCTTCAGCTCAAATAAATGGCAAATCAACCTTCAAAACGTGCTCAATTGCCAAATAAATTGAGAGACAACAAATTGAATGCTTAATATTTTTTTAATTTTTCACTATTAACGTGAACATCTGTGCAACATTCCAATATGCGATGTGTGCTGTGTTTTCAACGTGTGTTTGTGTGTATGTGTATGTGTTAAGTTATGCCATTCCATGCGTTGCCATCTTGCCATCTTCCCATAACATTTGGCCTGTCCATGCAGCTGCATTCCCTCTGCCATTGCCTCACAGCAAGTCTAACTCTACCATATATGTACATCTATATATACATATATTTATATATATATTTATATCTATGCGACAATTAATCTTCAGCTTATGCACTTTTTGCAACTGGTTTTCACACTTGTGTAATTTAAAGTATTTCCTCTTTTGCATTGCATCGAATGCAATTTTTTATGTGTGCATCACGACTTCTTAAACATTCATTGGCTGCTTTATAAATTGCTACGAAATTTTATTGAACCAGTTGGCTAATTTGGCTGCCAAATTGTCGAAGACTAATCAAATTTAGTTGAGTGTGTGAGACGACTGCAAATATTTTCAATTAATTGAATTCGCAGCTCATATCTAAAGCCCATGTTTACATCTTATTTCATTTATGTTTTTAGATATATTTAAAAAAAAAAATAATTAATTATTTTCATGGTTGAGAAAATTTGATTAGGAAGTGTTAAGACTATGGTTATTTTTTAATTTTTTTTTTTTTTTTTTTGATTATAAAATTATAAATAAATTTCATTGTATATTAAAAAGTGTATATATATTTTTAAAATGTATATAATTATATTCTTCATAAGAAGAAGAAAATATTTATTTACATTTATATAAATATATTACTAATTTTACTTCTTAATTGATAGCTGGTCTGATTTTGCCACTAGGTGTCTTAGTTATGTTGAGTAATTTGGAAAACGCATACATATATTTATTTTCAATGGAATCAGTGAAACTTAAGCTTGCAATCATTCACAATTTTGACGAACGAAATTTGACAGCAATTTTTGATTAAGTGCCAGGTGATCTTTGGCGTAGCCCCATTTATCAGAAACCTGCGCATTGTTCACAAAACAGTCAATCAGTCTGCCAATCAGTCAATGAGCCAACTGATCACTCAATCACTCAATCAATCAGTCATAGACATCATCTGCCAGTCATCTCATATTTGCCCAAAATTTAAAATATTTAAGCTAACAAAACTGGATTCATATTTTTACTTATTTTTAAATATATAAAATATACAAAAATAATGTTTAGAATATAAAATACATATATTCAAAATTGCAGAAAGTAATGAAAATTAAAAATAAAATAATAAAAATACAAAAATAATATAAATGAAAATAATGAAAATTATAAGAAAAAATATTAGAAAAAATTCTAAAAAATAAATAAATTAAATAATACATTTTGTCAAAAAATCTGTAACTAAAAAATTACAAATCTATTGCCTAAGATCTATCATTGGCTGCTGCATCAGTGCAATGAAAGCTGTTTTATTAATTAGAAATCAATGTTAAATCAGATCGTTCATCTCATTTGAGCTGGGAGAGAAATCTGTTGACTATCAGGTAGAGTGGGTCTATGCGTTTGTTTGGTTAGTATCGTGCTCGTATGTAGAACACAGAAGTAGAGGTGAGACAAGTTTTTTGTAGTTTTGAGCATGATGCACCGATGACAACAATTAAAGAAGACGGATTTGCTAACCACAAACCACTGACAGCTGGAAAACAACAGCAACAACAGCAACAACTAGCACAACTAAGTATAGTAACTGTCAACAACCAGTTGGGGCGTCTCTTGGCTTAAAGTAGGTCTGCTCCAAGCCTTTGTGTATCTTGTTAAGTATGTTTGCTAGCTGCTGTTGTTGCTGTTGTTGTTGTGGTTCACGTCAATTAGAAGCATGTAAAGAGAACGTATTTTTGTTATGTTGCAATATTTGTCATAAGATGAGGACGACGACGGTGCCGGTGGGTCAAATGCTGGGTCAAATGCTGTGAACTAGAATGCCTCAGTGCTGTTGAGTCTGAAAGGGCTATGCGCCAAGCAGGATGCGCCGTAAACTGTTAAGAAAGTTGCATGCGGATGCGCTGGCTGAGGCTTTTAATTGCCTCAACTGGACAGGTACCAGGTACCAGGTGCGAAGTATGCGAGAAGAGATATGTGGTAGGGGTGTGAGAGGCTTTCTGGTAAACAAAGTCGCGCAAATAATATGTAGAAAAACTGGACAGACTGTGGAAGAAAGTCAGCCAGTTGCCAGTTGCTCGCAACTGAGCAAGTTTGTGATCGTCCCAGACAAGACAGACAGCTGGACAGCGTTACAGCGCTACAGCAGTGTGGGACAGTGGGGCAGATGAAATGGCCAACAGACAACAGCCAGCAAAGGAGCTGTCAGGTTGGTTAAGCAAGGTGCGTTACTTTTACTGCTCAGCGAGCACAGCTTCAGGTTTGCAATTGGCAAAAAAAAAAAAAAAAAAAAAAAAAACTAAATAAATAACAATAACAATGCCACGAAATGATAGTGAAAATATTTTCAGTTTTTGGTCATGACATAGAAATGAAAATAAATAAAAAACTGTCTACATCTCTAAAAAGCAATGAGCTGAAGACGCTTCTGGACGCAAATCTTTTTGAGCAGCCCACGACAGATCTTTGACGCAACGCTAATGAATTGAATAAATGTTTTTCTTTTTTGTGGGAGCAACTGTCTGAGCCAGGCCTAGAGAAAGGTACTTTGAAGCGTGGCTGCGCAGCACGATGACTGGCGGCAGTTAATGATCGTGGCTGCCTTTTGCACTTCAAATTGAAGCCGAATCGTTAAATGCAATTTGTCAGCATCTCTGCACAGGGCTATAGCACATTTGTCACACTTCCCGAGCTGACTTTGGGCAACTTTCCTCTGGGCGTCTGTCTCTCTGTTTACGTGTGTGTGTGTGTGTGTGTTTGTGCAGATCAATTGCAATTGTTTGGCAGCGACTTTCGCGGCTGTATCAAAAATAAATTATTTGTTGTCAATTCGGCAGCAGCCTTGAAATTGCAGTTGGCTGTTACGAGTCGTTGGCGACGTGACTTGCGATTTCTTCACTGGAATTTCGTTGTCTTCTTTTGAGATTGGCTGCATTATATGGTCACGATGCCCAAAACTTGCTCATCAGCTGTGCAATTTGCAATACAACACCAGCAACAGCAAAAGAATGTTAAGTATATATATTTTTGTGGGTATTTGCCGTGAGTGAGTTTTGAACTGTTATCTGTTTTTCGCCTGAACGCCATAAAGCATCGTGAATTTATTTTATGTTTTATGTTTAACGACCTCCAAGCTGCAGTAGCAGTCGCCAGCAGTCAGAAGCCAGCAGCAGTTAGCTCCCATGACCGCAGCTTGACATTTTCGCATATTGCAAATACTAATAAAACGAAGAAAAAAAAAAACGAAAATAAAACAAAATTTGCATGAGACTGGAAAATTAGATTTTCCGCTCATTTGCACCGAGGCGGCCAAATACAAAACATATTGCGCAATCTTCTGCTTCAATGCATGTAATTTGGTAGCAACTCACACACACACACTTATGCATAGGGGCTGCACGTGTCTGCGTGTGTGTATGGGTGTGGGCCGTTCTCGAGCAGCAGCAGCGTTTTAAGCCAAACTAGGGCAGGTTAATTGCTGTCAGATAAAGAGCTCAGTAAATATGGAGCCCCACGTATCTAAATAAGTGCAACGCTCGATTTATCTTGCAGCGGTAAAATAACACATCGAGAAGGGCTTAAGAATGAAAGTTAAAATGTTTCTTAGTTTAGGTTAAAGGATGTGTGAAGCAAAAGGAATTCCAACAAAATTCGACAAAAGGAAGGGAGAGCAAAAATTCATATTAAAAATAAATAATAATAAATATAAATTATTATATTATAAATATTATTATTTATTAGTAAATATTATTTCGTTTTCTCTTTTATATATTTGGATTTGAATTGATAAACATATTTGCTCTTCTATTATATTTATTTGATCTTACTTCTCATTCCCAAATTATTATTGGTATAAGCTATAAGTATGATATAAAATATATAATTTATTATATTTTGTATGGTATTTATGTATATATATAAAAAATCATAATCGTTTCTATTTATGATTTTTCATAAAGAGTCACTTGATTTGCCTTTTGAGTATATAATAATTATTTTATGTTCCATTTTCTATTCGTCTAGTTCTTTTTATATCATAAGACTAGAATCCTATGTATATGAAAGATGCTAATAAATTGTAAATACCTAACACTTTTTTGAATAAAATCCAGCTCAGTCTCATATTTTCAGTAATAAATTAAATTCTAATCCAAATTCGAACTTTTCTACCATATTAATATATTAACTAGTTTTTGTAAATGTAAACTTAAAAGTTCTCATTGAATTAATCATTGAATAAAAGCTTGATCTTCACTCAGATAAAATTAACATTTCATGAATATTAAATAAAATCTATTTATTCTATATGACCAATTTCTGATCAATTTCAGTTACACACCAAAATGCAAACGTTTTCTTATCTCTGAACTCATTTGGTATCAACTAATTTAACCAAAAATTCGCACATAAAAATCCACCACACAAAATCAAAGCGATTCACATATAAACGGTTTTTCATAGCATTGTCCTGCCAGGATATGCGCAGATAATCACCTTGTGAGCGTGTATATATATACACTATATATATTTACGATGCTAGCAACACAAACGAATCAGCGGCGCTTGCCAGTTGAACGAAACTGAAATATGTCTGATGTACTTGTAATTGTTTTATTAGAGTGTGGAGAGAGACAACCGCACGCAACGCTTCACTTTTACCAACTGAACGCAACGACGATCTTGCCACGGTTTATAGCTTGTCCCCAAAACAAAAAGCAAAACAAAACAAAACAAAAACAAAAACAACAAAAGCAAAAATGAAAAACAAAACGAAAATAAGGTGCACGGCAAGCCAAAGCCAACGACGACAGCGCTGTGGTTGCCGTTCGAACATGGCTCAAACCGCGCTTGACGCATCTCTCTGTGTGTATGTGTGAGTGAGTCTGGCAATGTATGCCCATGATCGAACATGAATAGTCCAAATGAGTCAAGCAATCGCAATTTCCACTCAAACTCCAGTTGGTCATCTCATTGTTAATTGAGTTATGGCCCAGCAAATCGACAATGAATTACACTTCACACTCTCTCACACACACACACATGAGTGTGTGTATAAGTGTGTCACCGTGTTAGGTTTGAGCTGCAATTGGCAAGCGGCGGCTCGTGCAACATGTATGCAGGCAAGCAGCTCCTCGAAACAAGTTTGTTGCCTGAGTCTTTTGTTGCCTGTGGCTTGGCAAAATTATCTATTAGTGAAAAATACGAATGATAATCTATTTGAATGAAATAAATGCAAAATATTTGATGCCGTTACGCATTTTGTTTGAACAAATGATTATCGATTACTTATATGTATATATATATATTATTTATTTATTTTGCTTCTCCTTTGTTATGCCCCTTGGCGGCATACAAAAAAATAAATAATAACCCTCGTAATTTATCAGCATTTTTATTTATTTACATTTCACTTATGTAATGCGAGTCGAGATGGGTGAGCTGCAGGGGGGTACAAAACTGTGTCAATATTGTCAGTAAAATCAATGAAGCGCTATTGCTTCCGGCTAAATATGCTCATCATTAGCCACAAGTTGGAGAAAAATATGAGAAACGAAAAATAAAGGCAACAAATACTAAAAAGAAATATCAAAAATAGTTAAGTATTTATTGTGTCTGCTTTACCTTAATTGTAGCATATATTTGCGTAGTCGCGCCTAAACAAATGGTATTTTGATTAATGCTGTGCTAATGGGTTTGGTTGAATGGATTTTGCATGTTTATGTGCTGTCAGCAGGTGTTTTATGCTTATCTCATTGCAATTGCAATATCGAATTAAGTAAAGATCAACTTTCAATTTCGATTTCAATTTTGAATTCAAGTTCACGACAAGGCAATAGCGCATCCTCACACGCACACGCACACGCACACGTACTCTGAAAGTTAGGTGAAGATGCGCTTTAAATGCATTTGAGGCGAAACGAGCGAAGGTCGTTGAGTAAATTAATTTTAATTGCAACTCATAATGTCGCTTGAAGGGGCAATCGAAATCAAAATAGTAATCTGCTGCTGTGCAGGCAGCTTGACTTTGAGCGCATTTGTTCAAGTGATTTATGCAGCTGGAGCTGGAGCTGGAGCCAAAGCAGCCCATCTGGCAGATGTGTGAATCCATTAAGTGTGAACATTGCCAAATTGCAGTCGGTCGATTGACTTAATGAGTGACGCAGCCTGAACTTGAACTTGAAGTGTGTCGGTTGGACGTCAAGTGCCGCAACACGCTGACTTGCAAACTCAGCGCTGGACAAAGAAGATAAAAGATGCCAAGCACCCCATTCCACGGTTATGACTGCAATTGGATTTGGGGCCCACCAAATGACCCCCGCCAGGCAATGCTGGCAATGAAGGCAATTTCGAATTGAGAGCCAGCCAAGTTGGCTGATATTAAAGCGGCTTACCATGAAGCCAACGGCTCGAGGCCTCACGCGCACAGCAGCATGGTATCAAGTAAATCTTTATATATGTATATACATATATATATATATATATTTGTTGCTTATGTTTATGTACTTATGTCGCTCAGTGTGTAGGCCGCTTTTCACTTTTCTCTCGTGCAGCCCACAGTGCGCCTGGCTGTCGCTTAATCAGCCATTTGACATCTCTCGTCATTAAACACGAAAAGTTTTTAATTGCCTTTTGCTCTTTGGCTCATTGCTGTTTGTGTTCGGTTTATGTAACATTTGAAAATTGGGCATTGGCAAAGAAATGTGTTGTCATTTAATTGGCATTACGCGTGTTTTTGGGCGCTGATATATCACCCCACCTCATCTAATCTCCTCCCACCTCTAGCGCGCCGCAAGGTCGTTCGTTTAGCGGCAGAATCTTCAAGAAGTGCGCGCACAAAGCGTAAACAATGATAAATTACAATAACAACAAATTGTTGTTATATGGCCCCATAATTAACTTGGTCTGTGGTGTTTGCGGCTCTTGAGAGAGCTAATTAACTTGTCTCTATGCAGATATGGCTGTGGCTGTGGCTGTGACTGTGGCTGTGGCAACCTCTTAGCCATAACCCAGTGACTGACTCGAAGATTCTGTAACTGAAACAGAAACCAAAACCAAAACCCAAACCATTATCATCTGCTATTAAGTACGTACATTTCGAAACGGTAAAATAATTTAATTGTTGCCTAACTCAAGTTTATCCAAACATTTTCCACTGGCCCTGAATCAAATCAAAAAATAAATAGATAATATATATACAATATATAAAACTAAGTTTGCAAAAAAAATAGAATTCAGCATTTTTCAAGGAAATGTTTATACAGCCGAGACTGCCAATTCGTACCTCATAAAACTATTCAAACAAACCAAAAATAGCAAACGCTCTATGTGAAGAGCCTTCAGCGTGCTTATTGTGATATAGATATATTAATATATATATATATATATATATATATATATATATATATATATATATATATATATATATATATTTTTTTTTTTTTTTTCATAGTACTAATTATTATTTGCCTGAGCTGCCAAAAGCAAATGTATAACAAAATACTTAATATTTTTGTTGGAAATATTTGAAAAATTTCGAGCAGCCTTGGATTTCTAATTGGTTTAAGTCTCAAAGATAGCACCGCTGATATACGAGTATAGTCTAAATATAACTTAACTCTGACCCTGGAGTATCCATTTATTGTGAGCTGATCAAATGACAGCATATGGCTAACAAAAATCATATTCAAGAATTATAAGCAATCTGATTATAAATAGTTTTATTTTTTAAACAATTTTTGATGCTGTACAAATTTGCAGTCAGCAGCATAAAGTTATACTATATAGTCTAGTTGTTGTTAAGCGACTTAAGACACATCTTAATGGCTGGTGATATTTATTTATAGCATATATACAATGAATAGAATAGTATTAAATGTATTACAAAAATACTTATTCAGTCTTCCCACATTTATGAATTTTTATTTCGTTTCGTAGTTACCCAGCACTCGTTGCCCAGTGGGATCAAATGGGCTGCGCAGATGGCAGTGGGCCTTGTAGCGCTTGCCCAAAATATCGACTTCATAGTCACCCGATTTCAGATAGTCCACGTCCACCTTTTGCCCATCTGCGCGTGATATATACGCCTGCCCCAGAGATTTGCCCAGCGTGTACGCATACTCAGCGCGGCGCAGGACGCCCACAGGCTCCCCATTGCGGTAGACGCCCTCGAGACCCCAGATGGGCACCTGCTGCTGCAGCGTCAGGTACACCAGGCGCTTCTTAACGCCCTCGGCACGCTGCAGCTCCACGGCGGCACGGCCGCGATAGTCGCCCGTCTTGCGGCAGGTGAAGCCCAGGCCAGCCTGTAAGGGCGTATCATCGGAGCGCAGATCGAAGCTCCACAGATGATAGCCCTTCTCGCTGCTGAGGGAGTACAGCGCCCGGTAGCCGGCGTTGCGCAAATCCTGGGACTTGCCCGCAGCCATTAGCGCCTTGTACACCGCCACACAGTCCCGCTTGGGCACATGCAGCTCATAGCCCAGCTCGCCCACAAAGCTGACGCGCAGCAGGCGCAGTCCGATGCCGTTCAGCGTGGCCAGGCGAGTGCTATTGGGCGCCACATGCTCATCCGAGAGATCGCAGTCGAGCAGCGGCTGCAGAATCTGCCGGCTCTTGGGTCCCTGTATCGAAATGACGCCCAGATCAGCCGTGATATCCGAGAGCTTGGCATCGAAGCCCTTGCGGCGCATCTCACTGCGCAGAGTGCTGTATGTGTAGTAGGCAGATGCTCCGCCGGCCACAATGTAGTAGCCCTGGCCCTCGAACTTGGGATCGTGCACTTGGCCCGATCCAGATGCCAGACGACTGATGGTAACATCCGCCTCAACGCCGCCAGCGTCGTTCAGTGCACAAGTGTAGACAGTTCTGTGGAACAACAAGATTTACAATTGGTTTTATTTTTTTTTTTTTTTTTTTTAACATAAAATTTAAATATAGAATATAAAATTATTTCAATTTTGTGGTGTTTATGCGGAATTAAATTTTTCTTTTAGTATTTAAATTTAATCTAATTAATATTAAATTCAACTAATTATTATTTTTTTACGTTTTTTTTTTTTTTTTGGCAATAAATTATTAAATGTAAAAGGGAAATAATTTTTTTGTTATCTATATAAAATTCAAATATTACTCTAATATTTAAATTTAAATTAATTTAATTAATTAATATATAACTTGAAAAATTTATTTTATTTTTATTTGTATTTTTCATTTATATAAAAAGTTTTAAAAATTTCTTTAATATCTGTATTCAATGAATTATTTAGACTTGATTAAAGTACCACTAAGGCTAGCAGAAAACTTATTTGATAGTAGATACCAATTTATAACTAAAATAAAATAATTAAATTATTTACTCACTTGGTTGGGTCCCGATTGGTGTTAGCAGAGAAAAGCCAGTCGGCGGCCTTCTGAGCCTGTGGTCCTTCCAGCAGCAGCTTGGAAAAGTAGCTCATGTTGAAGACCACCGCATTGTTGCGACAGGCGAGTGCCTCAGCGCCAATCTGTTAATAGAGACTTTTAATTTTCAATTCCAATACCCTTCTACCAGCATTTACCAAGTCGTGATGCTCAGAGAAACTGCTGTACTTAAGATCGCCTTCCAGTACCTTCTCATAGCCGCTATCCTTGTGCCTTACATTCTCATAGCTACCATACCAGTCGTAGGGCATCACTGCTGCCGACTCTACGGCGGAGCCCAAGAAGAAACCGGGGCGTTCCCAGCCCTGTTTCTCCTCCATGAAGGCGTTGCACTGCAGCATCTCGTCGTGCAGTGGATCCTTTTGGAAGTCACGGCCGGCGATCGGCTGATCGTACTTGAAAACCATGCTGTAGTTCTTCACATAGCTCTCGTGCGACTTCTCCTGTATCCACTTGGTGGCTCGACCCTGGTCCGGGGTGAAACGTCGCAGATCAAAGCTGAACATGGGCACATCCGGTTGCCCGTTGATGATCCACAGGGCCGTCTGCTCGCCACAGCCACCGCCGAACATCATGCCAGCCGAATTGAAGCCGCAGTTGTGCATGAGGCCGGCTACGTTTGGATCCGGGCCCATCAGAGGCTTGTGATCCGGCGTAAATGACTCGGGGCCGCAAACGGTGCTCTTCACGCCATACTTGGCATAGGCGGGGCACAGTTTCTGGGCACCCTCCACATGCGTCTCGAACACCGACCAGTCCAGCTCGTAGAGGCCAAAGTGGAAGTCCTTGGCCACTGGGTCCAGCATAATGGGATTCGGCTCGTAGCCGCCCATGCAGATGGCATCGCCCTGTATGCGGAAGTAGGTGGAATAGTCGTGATCTCGTATGTTAGGCAGACCGCGAACACCCGGAATGGACTCGGACACAATGTACGCATGCTTCATGGGCAGCAGCGGCAGGTGGGTGCCATGGCGAGCCACCAGATCGCGACCCCATACGCCAGTGGCATTCACAACGGTATCTGTGCGTATATTGCCGTAAGACGTTGCCACGCCCACTACCTTCTTACCATGTGCACCCTGTTCGACCAAAATCTCCTGCACGTCACAGTTCTCAATCACATGGGCGCCGTTGCTTGTTGCAGCCCGCCTCAAGGCCGTGCAGAGCATGGCCGGATCCATGACGCCATCGCCCGGCGAATAGAGAGCGCCAATAAAGGCCTTCGGATCGAGCAACGGAAACAGTTTCTGTGTCTCCTCGGGCGTCAGTATCTCGTTCTCAATGCCCAGCGCAGCACCAACCGTGGCCAGGCGTCGATACTCATCCAAGCGTGTCTCATTGTGCGCTATGAAGATGCCACCATTCTGTATCCAGCCGGGATCAAGGCCCGTCTCTGCCTCCAGCTGGCGCAGCATATTGCGTGAATTGGCCAGCAGCTGGATGTCCACATCGCTAGGGCGCAGTCGCCAGAGCAGACCAGCCGTGTGCCACGTTGTGCCCGCTGTCAGCTGTGCCCGCTCCAGCAGCACCGCCTTGATGCCCCGCTTGGCCAGATGGTAAACCGTATGGCAACCAGCCGAGCCGCCACCAATGACCACCACATCCGCCGACTTGGGCAGTTCTGGAGGCGCCGAGGCTGAGCTCTGATGACGGCACAATAGGTGCCTCAAGTCCTGGCGTCTTGCCTGTTGTACCACAATGCCTGTGCGCCACATTTCCGATTCGCAACCGTCCGATCTCAATCAACAGTGAAAACTGATCGAAGGCAGTTGGGAAGAAAGCTCTGAGCCCAATCCGATTCGCATTGACAATCAAATTTCATTTGACCTCCTTGATCTTGTGGGTCTACTGCGGTGATAAGCCCGCTAAGTCGAGACTCTTATCATATATACCCCACCCACTTTCGCGTATATCAGCGAATTGTATGAGTAAACCACATATTTACCACCGACAGGTGGCGCTTTCAGCACTCTTATCATCATAAACATATTGTAGCTAAAAATATCTGTATTTAATTATATTCTATATTATTTGGGTTCATTTCAGGTCATTTTTTCAGTTATTGAAAAACAATTTATAATAGAATGTCAACAAAAATTTTTAATGTGATTATTTAGTATTTAGTATTATTAAAAATAGATTTAAATATTAAAAAAACGCCTGTAAAACAAACTGTATTATTAAATAAAAATGTTTTGCGTAACCTTTACAGAATTGAAAACGTCTATTTTGTTATCAACAAACATCTTATCGCATAAATGTAAATGCTTCTAACAAAACTCGTATAAGAAACAAAAATGTGCCCCATGCCTCATTGATTTGTCTATGTGATCATTATATTAAAGGAAGCTTGGCGATGTGCCCGACAGGACACAGGCGGCGCCATTGTCATGGGTTGCTGGCAAAGGGCAACCCACAGGCCACAAGCCGAAACCGGACCAGACCAGACTCAACCACAGCACCACAGAAATGTAGACTTTCCAGTACTGCAGTTTCGCTCGTTGTGAATACTTGTTAATGTCGGGCTTTAGTTGTTGTTGTTGTTATTTCCATTTCTATGGCGGTTGCTAACGTTATTGTTATTGTTATTGTTATTGTTATTTCTGGCAAATTGTGCGACAAAATTCTATAGCAAGGCGCATGATTTGTTGCGTTTTTCTCGTATGCACGAGGCAACTGACGCTGTCAGCTCATTAAGCTGGTCTCATTATGCAATCTCGTTGGCATTGTTCAAGATGCAGCCTAGTTGGAGTTGGAGACTAAGTAAATGGAGATAGATATACAGATAGAGATGGAGATGATGCCAATGACAACGAGTACGAGCAACTACTTGTTGCATCTGCTTGGTTGGACGTGAGTCAAGCGTTGCCTTATTTAGTATTCTATAAGATGTTGACTTAACATTTAATTTATAAACTAAAGAATGTATTATCAATATGCGTAGTATTCAAATTGAATCTATTCTGAGTCCAATTCTACTAAGCTTTGATTCTCTAATTAGCAATTAGTCACAGAAATAACGGTATAATGGTGTGTATAAGTAAAAGTATGTAGCAGGCAGAAGGAGGCATGGCACACCCCATAGAGTATTCCACAGTACCTTAACATTTCTAGTTAACTAACAGTATAGTAACCCAGTTGATGTTAACTCTCTACGAACTAACATTTTTCACACAGCCACACATTTTGTTCCGTCCGCAACCACAGCCCCGTAAATTATTCAGCGAACGATATTTAGTCCGTTGATTTTAATAAAAACCCCTAAGATATGCAACGATAAATCGCAATAATCTGAAATGTATATTTAATGTACAAGAGAGCCAAGAGATAGGCTTTATGTGAGTTAAAGTAAAGGGTCTCAGCACATAAAACAGAAATCAGTTTCAATCTAACATTTTTTTTACATATACTAAACATTGATTTTATATTAATGATTACGTTTTCTTCTGTTCAATTTATATATATATAAATATTTAATTATTCCTTTTATATTTATTTATTGCTTTTCGCTTTTATCGATTTTTACAGTACAGAACAGCAATCAAATAAGTATATAGGAATTATCTGATTGGCACTTGAACGCCTGGTTTCAATTTCACAACCTGTTCAATTCAATAGAATTAAGCGTTGAGTTGTTGGTATTCATTAGTAAAACAGCTAAACAGATGATAAGAAAATAAAAATGAATAAATAATGAAACCAGCAGCAGAATAAATTCATTGATAAATTCAATGGTCGACTAGAAATCTACTTTAAAATTTGATGAAATGAGACATAAGATTGTTCTATATTTTGTTGAATTACATTTACTTTGCATATGTAATATTGAATTATATATATGTATATATGTATATATGTACATATGTGAATTTTTAATTATATTTTTATATATTTATCTAAGCTAAAATATAGACAAATTATTTATTTTTTTATTCAAGGGAACTGTTTTTTTGAGTTTTAATATTTTTAAATTTGATGCTAAGTCAACAGAAGTGCTACAATTGACGCAGAGCCTCACTTACGCATTTACACAATATTCACATTTAATTCATTAGATTACTCATTTTGTAAACAACCAGAGAGGTAGCGAGACGAAGAGCGGAGAGTTAGAGGCTTAGTCTGCCGGAGCACTTAAATGCGATTACAATACGCGATATTTAATCTCTGATAACAAGCGGAAACCAGACAGTCGTCGATTAGACGTTAGCTCCCTAAAGTAGGCCTCAATTAGAGAACATGTCAGTTTTTATTTAGTCCTCCGTGCGCTGCCTGACGAAATGTTACGCCACGATTCAGCTCCGCCGCGTTGCTGGCAATTGGCCTTGCGTCGCATCTTCAAAGCTCAGGATTTCTATGGCAGCATACGGCCGATGATTGGGATGGCCCTGGTGTTGGGCATTACGCCGTATTCCATCTGTCGCGACGGTTGCCAGGGCGAGCAAGTGGTGCGCGAATCGTGGTATGGATTTGCCAATGCCATCAGCCGCTGGCTACTGATCGCCTATTGCTACTTGTACACACTGCAGCAGAAGGAGAGCCTAATTGGCTACTTCATGCACAACCACATCTCGCAGCTGAGTGCCCGGATGCATGACGTCGCCGGCATCGTTGCCGGCATCGTCATACTCATATTGCCGCTTTTCCTGCGCCGTCATCTACGCAACGCCCTTGAGAAACTGGTGCGCGTCGATAGGCATCTGGACCACCTGAGTTTTCCCATTGACTATAGGCAGGTTCAATATCAAATTCTGTTGGTGTTACTGCTGGTCTCCACCCTGGATTCCACCATCATAATTGTCTGCCTCGTCTGCCTGTCCATTATGGAGGTGAAGCCCACATTTCAGCTAATTTTTAGCATGATGTACGAGCTGATCATCATATCGATAACCATTTGCATGTTTTGTTTGTTGGCCGGCTCTATTCAACGCCGCTTCAAAAAGTTGCACAAGGTGAGTCGTTATTCATTTCGATTTAAGTTAATAATATCTTTAAGCCTATATATATATACATATCTACTTCTTAAAAACTCATATGAATTAAAGACTTCTTTTTTAACGTGCAACTCCTTACTTTTCTATAGCTCACATTATATATTTATTTACTTCCGTCTCAAAAGGGTTCAATTAAAGAATTAAAGACTTCTTTTTTAACGTGCAACTCCTTACTTTTCTATAGCTCACATTATATATTTATTTACTTCCGTCTCAAAAGGGTTCAATTCCTGTAATTAAAAACAACTTAGAATGGGTCGCAGAAATTCATATGACAAATGACATAGCATATATGAGTAGCACTCAGTTCTATGTAGGTCAATAGCCTTTGCATATTTGTACCTGCTGATATATATCCATGTTCAGCCGCTCACATACCTGACATAATTAAATTGAATTTTCGAGTTTGCGCAAAAAAAATCCATCCGGTGTCCTGCTCGGTCCGCTAGCTTAAGTATATGGCACGTCATTCAAATGTCATCGAAAATAAACTATTTTGTTGTTTAGCATGCCACGCTCCATAAACGCGATACATTATGCATGCGCACAAGGCACCGAACCAACAGAAACTGATCAGCATATGACCAAGAGACGCCATACCCCATTGCTCAGCACCAGCTACATATTGCGCATACGCCTCGTGAGCGGCGCAGCTGAGTGTGACTGTCTGCATGCGATTGTGTGTGTTTGTGTGTAGTCATGAGTGTCAAGGATATGTGTTGATAATGAATTGCGAGCCATGAAAGCGTCTGACTACTTCCGGATGAGCGACAGCAGTTGCAACAATATTAGAGAAGAACAAATTTCTGCTATCGGGATTCGAATAATAATGGGGATAAGAGTAGAAATTTATATAAGCATTTGAATAGCTAGATTATTAACTAAACAAGTAAATAATTTAAAAATATTTATTTCTGGTAGATAAAAAATCATTTAAAAAAAATCAAATATATTATTAAAAAAAAAAAAAAAATTAAAATATATATTTTAATACCTAAAATATATTCTAAAAATACAGTCTTCAATTATCGTTTAAAATCATATTATTTATATTTATAAAATATACATTATTTCTATTTTCATTATTATATTTATAATATTTCATAATTATGTTATATTTCCAATTACTACATGTATTCAGAGGAATAGCCTGACCGCCCCTAAATTTCAAACTCCTGTTTACTTGTGCTGCCTTAATCAACCTTCAAAATTATATTGAGTTGATATCATAATATAGTATTAAAATAATACCAAATATACAGAGAATACCCAGCAGCCTTATTATTGGACAATTGTATGCATAACAAGCAGGATGTTGTCTGCGAAGCAGTGAGCCGAGTGGACAGAGGTCCTCTGTCTTGATACGTCATTGTATCACTTATTCAATGCCAAGGGCCACCCACTCCACCAGTCAACATCCTCGCATAGAGAAAGCGAGACGAGAGAGAACTCAGTTATGCTAACAACTAAATTAAAGCCAGACACTGGCGTCTGCTTGACTATGCTATGCATTGCTCACCCTCAAGGCCACGCACCAACACAAGCACCAACACTTGTTGAGCTTGGGCTGCTGCGATAATCCGAGCGTTGTGAGTTGCTCTCACGTTCTGCCAACTGGGAAAGTGAGTAAAAGCCGACTGCATGATGAACATCATAATGAGCTATTCGCACACGCCCACGCCTCGGTTACACTTCCGTGAATGATGCTCTCTTTCACTCTCTCAGTCAGTCTATCACTCTCTCTCTTTTTGTTTTCATTTTTTTGCGATATGTTTTTGTTTTCGCCAGCAAGCGAATCGGGCGGAACGTCGTCCTGGCTGCAGTTCGATTTGTCACTTGGAAGCTAACGGTTGTGCGGCTTCATCATTTGTCGCTTGTCATACAAAATGTCCACGGCGTTGCGTCGGGTGCGAAAGTACTTTATATCGTCGCAGGTCTACGAGGCACTGCGTCCACTACTTTTTCTTACCTTTCTTTATGGCCTGACGCCGTTCCATGTCGTGCGCCGTAAGATGGGTGAATCGTATATAAAGATGTCGTGCTTTGGCATCTTCAATATATTTGTTTACATTGTGCTGTGCGGCTTCTGTTACATCACTTCGCTGCGTCAGGGCGAGTCAATTGTCGGTTATTTTTTTCGCACAGAGATTTCAACAATTGGCGATCGTTTACAGATCTTTAATGGACTCATTACGGGCGTTGTGATCTATACGTCGGCGATATTGAAGCGCTGTAAGCTCCTGGGCACGTTGACAATTCTCCATAGTCTCGATACGAACTTCTCCAATATCGGCATACGCGTTAAGTACTCCAGGATTTTTCGCTACTCGATCATGTTGCTCGTCTGCAAGCTGCTCATTCTGGGTGTTTACTTTGTGGGCGTATTCCGGCTACTCGTGTCCCTGGGCGTGACACCCTCCTTCTGCGTCTGCATGACCTTCTTCCTGCAGCACTCGGTGGTCTCGATTGCGATTTGTTTATTCTGCGTGATTGCCTTCAGTTTCGAGCGACGTTTGAGTATCGTGAATCAGGTAAGTTACATCACGGTGATTAACCCGCACTCCCTGGACTAGCCCAACTCAAGGCCTGCGCAAATAGTGAAACTAGGGCAGAGGGAGGGAAGCTATTGCCTGCTCACCGTAAGGGCACAACACTTATTGCTCAGCCACAAATCAAGTGTGAAATTAATTTATGTTAATTCAGATATTTGTTGACTACGCTTTTGTTAAACTGTTGCTTGTGACCTGACCTCTAATAGATTACCTAAATAGATTTAATTTCACATGTGTGCAGGTGATTATTAGAATAAATTCGGTGCTTTGTTATTTTGGTGTGTTTAGGTGCAAAAGGTAGGAACTGAACAATATGGAGCGATGTTAACCTCCCAGCATGATAGTTATTTGCTTTTTATTGTTGATGGGTCAATTTTAAAGCTAAAATGTCCTCTGCATAGAAGAAAAGAGTTATCAAGCAGTAAGTACTAAAGATGTTGTCTTTACAAAAGTCAATAATGTTGATGCTTAGATAATCAAAGCTCATCAAAAATTGTGATATATGTATATTCATACATATATATATTTCCTCAACTATTATCGAAGTAGAAAATATACATAAAAGATAAGATAAAACCCGATTAGTAATTGTAAATAGTAATTGGTGACATGTCAGCTGACAGTCAAGCTGTCAATTACAAATAACAAATAACTATGATAAAGACAGGAAACTCCCTAGTCATAGACCATGATAAAAATAACGCATACAAAAATAAATCCAATAAGCTTATGTATATCGTAATGCTTCTGATAAGCTTAAATTTTTGAATATACATAAATTTATATTTTGTATATATTGAATATTGCGATTAAAAATTGTATTTTTGTAAAAATATTAGCTTAGTGATAATTTTAGATTAATACTTACAGAAAGGGTTGTCTAAGTATCTTGAACAGCTGTAATATTCCATTCCCAATAATGCTCTGAAAGCGTCCTAGAAGTCCTTCAAATCATATTTTAATATGCTCTTATCTCATCCTTCTGTGACACCAAAAAGGTAAACAAACCCATTTACTGTCAATAAATTTACAGTTTACAAGCAACACACGTGGGTTAAACTTTTGCTGCTCTTATCAGCTTTATGAGCATCATAATTGTCACGGAAGCAAAGGCTGTTGTTTACTACTGTTCCCCTTTCTTTTATGGTACTCCAGCTATTTCGTATAATTCTAAAAACACACAGAACCTTTCTACGCCGTTGAGCGCTGAGCTGTTGTCGTCTCAAAGCTCTCGAAGACAACTGGAAATCCTTCCCACCTTTTACACCCTTTTATGGATATTGTATGAACAAACAATTTTGCTAATTTCCCGCAGAGCAATGACCATAAATTTATGCGAAGATATTGCAGCTCATTCGGGGAATCCATAAATATCTTTGAGTTTTAGTAATAAGTATTAATAAGAGTAAAAGACACTAACAAAGCTACATGAGGACAATCATATATAAACAAAACAAAAACTAAGAGAATTTACTCGTTCTGCTTATGTTATTTTAGTAGATATCAACCATACTAAATTAGTGCTAGCATCGCAGATATTGTGAAAGGGATATATATATATAGAGACAATCAGAAAGGAAGATATAAAATGAGTGTGATGGACAGAAAAAGAAACAGCGTGGTAATGACAAAGAGATAGAGAGATTGTAAGAGGGAGGGAGAGAGATAAGAAGAGTGAATGAATGAGAAGGGATAGAAAGAAAGAGAGAGTGAAGAAGATGGATTGAGAGTGACAGAGAGGTAAATAGAAAGAGAGAGAGAGAGTGAAGCAGAAGGAATGAGGGAGAGTGACAGAGAGGTAAATAGAAAGAGAGAGAGAGAGAATGAAGCAGAATGAATGAGGGAGATTGATGGAGAGGGAAATAGAAAGAGAAAGTGATAGAGAGTGAGAGTGGAAAAATAGACAGGGACAGACACAGAGATAGAACCTACATAGCTATATTAGCACTTTTGCAGTTGTCATCAATCCGTCTGTCCAACTCTGAATCAACAGAGCTACGGCATTGCTCAATATTCCTTATGAATAATTCAATTGTCTTTTAGAAATTCTTTGAGTAAGAGTTAAAGTGCCCAAGGGTTCACAGACAGACAGACAGACAGAGACAGACAGACAGACAGACAGCCAGACGGACAGTGAAAAAAGTGTAACCTTTTAAAATGTGGGTAAATCGTATAACTAATTAGATTCCTGGGTAGTAAGAAAGTGAGAAAGAGAGGGACCCAAGGGAAAGGCTTCCAGTCACCTGTAAATGGCCATTAATTAAATAGAACAGTTTAAGCTAACAGCACTTACACTCAGTCATATTCGTATTCGTATTAATATTCGCATTTGTATTTGTAATCATATTCATACTCGCACTCGCTGACATGCGGCATAAAAATGCTAAAATTATTTACTTTGAGCCAACAAGTATGAAATGAATGAGTTCTGGCCCCACCTCATTAGAACAGGGTCCGGTCCGGTCCGAGCGCCGGCGCCCGGCAACATGCAAATTATTTGTGCTGCTTGTGTTCAGTTGACGCGTAAAGCTCCAGCTGTGCAGACCACGGCGAATAAGGCAGCATGGACACCAAAAAGGATATTAGTGTGGAAATCGAACTGAATACTATGCTGCAACATCCGTTTAGGCGTCGCGTTCGTCGGTGGTTCACCGCCAAGCAGCTGTACGAGAGTCTGCGTCCACTCTTCCATGTGACCTATTTGCATGGACTGACATCGTTTTACATTTGCAGCGATGGCAAAACCGGCCGCAGGGACATCAAGAAGTCCTGGTTCGGCTACCTAAACGGCATTGCCCATATCGTCGTCTACTCCGTCTGCTATACTCTGACCATTCGCAACAATTGTGAGTCCGTTGCCAGTTATTTCTTTCGCTCTCGCATCACTTACTTCGGCGACTTGATGCAAATCGTGAGCGGCTTCATTGGCGTCACGGTCATCTATCTGACGGCCATTATACCCAAGCACCGGCTTGAGCAGTGCCTGCAAAAGTTCCATACCATGGATCTGCAGCTGCACAGCGTTGGCATCAAGATCATGTACAGCAAGGTGCTGCGGTATAGCTATGCCGTCATGATCTCCATGATGCTCGTTAACTTTGGGTTCTCCTGGGGCACCTTTGCAGTGCTCTACTCATCCAGAACGCAGCCCACCTGGGCACTGCATTTCACCTTTATGGTCCAGCATACGGTCATAGCTATAGCCATTACCATGTTCTCTTGCTTCACATACCTGGTGGAGATGCGATTTGTTATGGTTAACAAGGTAAGCAGCAGACTTAAGGCATACGAGTACACACAAATAAAATAGCTACCAGCTATCGCTATATTGTTTTTTAAATCGATACAGAAGATCTGATGTGATCTGATGTGCAGAAAAAAAAAATCCTTCACGGCAGTTTTCATAAAAATTGATCAAACTATTATTATTTTATTATTGATCAAATTATTATTACATATTTTATTTCTAAAAACAATAGTATCAAACTTTTTATTAAATAATAATGAAAATTAACTCAACAAGTTTACTTTGTCTTTTTTTATTTCTATTTTGTTATATACTTAAATATTTGATTTATTATTAACTTTTATTTTGTTTATCAAAATTTTCCAATTTTTTTTAATTTACAAAATAAAAATAAATTCACATACAATTATATATTTGGCAAAAATTTATATTAAAGACTTTATTCATATTGACAACCAATACATTTATTTAATTTTAAAATTCATTAAAATATCTCAACAACGTCCGACCGTCTTGAATTTCATTTTAACAATGCAATAATTCGGTAAGTAAGCGAATTAAAGGAACTTAAGGAGAACAAATATAGCCAGAGCGAGCATTGGGAAAGCGAACCCAGGAGGAACAACATACCTTACGTCTGCTCTTACAAATAGAATTCAAGTGCCGCTCTCATTACTTACAAATACTTATTTGTATCACCTTCAAATGAGTTATATATATTTGTTCTGTTACTCCCCTATATACATTTAATATATTTATTTATTGTACTTTATATACTGTGACGTATTTATAGAACAAAGAATTCTCTAGAAATGTACACAGCCATACTTAACACAAGGGGTTTCCCAAAAACTAGTATTTACACACGTCATTATTTAAGTCTAGGGAATACTGAATCTTAAAAAGCTATTAAAAATGTTTATGCATATAAAAAAATAAGTTGACCGATTTTAACATTATTTATCTGTGTTCTTATCTCGTTTCACGGCAATATTAATATGACACATGGGAATAATTACAAACAACATAAAAATATTGCATGTTTCAATGCGTACTCACAGTTGGCTACATTACGGGATATTTTTTGTCTGGAATACACATACACCTACGTATACCAAGTCCTTTGTGTTATACTCTAGTTAACGTCAGCCAATTATTGGCAGCGTAGCAAATTCAATTAAATTAATTAACTCATCCCTCGCAAGTTGGGGGACATAAACGCTTTGTCCACCTCATGTGCGCTCACTTTATAATTTCATAGCAAAAACAAACAAAATGAAAGTGTCATGAAATAGAATGAGAGTCCGACAGGTTTCCCATTACGCGAGACCTGACAGCTAGCTCCTCAATTCCGACTAGACGAAGTTCAAGGCTTTAAGCTATATCAATAAATAATGTGAGCAACTAAGTTGCAGTCGCTCTATAAAAGGTGCATCACTTCCGCTGTCCAAATCAGTTTGAGCTCTTCACCGCCATGTGGCCAATTTGGAGGCAACTGCTCAGTCCACGCGACGCCTACGGCGCTGAGCAAACGCTGCTCCTTTTCACCTATCTGCTCGGTCTGACGCCCTTCCGGCTGCGTGGCCACGGGACGCGCCATTTTGAGCTCAGTCGTCTGGGCTATCTGAATGCCCTGCTACAGCTGACCTTCTTTGGCTACTGCTTTCTGTCTGCCCTCGTCCAGGAGCAGAGCATAGTGGGCTACTTCTTCAACTCACCCATCTCCCAGGTGGGCGACTCACTGCAGAAGTTCATCGGCATGACCGGCATGTTCACGCTCTTCCTGTGCTGTGGCCTGCGCGTGCGACTTCTGATACGGCATTGCGATATGATCGCCTGCATCGATAATCACCTGCTCGACGTGGGCATCTGCTTCAATTACAGCCGCATTATGAGTCTGCGGCACACAAAACTTCTTCTCATCGCGGGCGTTCAGCTGGCCTATCTGGCCAGCTCGATCTCGATGCTAATCTACAATGATGTGCGGCCCAGCTACACTGTGGCCGTTGCCTTCTATGTGCCTCAATTATTCCTGCTCAGCATTGTCGTGCTCTTCGGAGCTATTCTGCACCGCTGCTGGCAACAGTTCGATGCGTTGAATAAGGTAAACGCGAATGGGAATAATTCTGAATAGGTTGCAAATATATATCCAATTTGCTTGGTATTCCAACATGCCATACCTTTTTTTTGCCTCTACACACATCGCTCATAATTTATTCCCCTGCTCTTTTTGCTATTTCTCTGCTTATAAACAAAGTAAGGCTATTCGTCATAGATTCAATACGTTAGCTTCATTCGATATTGGTTTTTTATTTAATTAATTAGGCACAATCTAAATCTAGGTTTTGATGACTCGGGCTAGGCGCTTAATCGCCTGCGTTGCTCATACGCCATGTGGCTGCCGAGCTGTTTGGATAGATTTGTGCACCCGGTCAATGTCTACGACTGCTACCGTCTCATCTTCTATATGGCTATGTTTTGTGGAATTATGCCGTACTATGTGGACAGTTCAGGAGATCGATTGAAACTCTCCTACTGCGGTTTGTTTACCGCAGTTCTACGACTGCTTTTCTATCCGGCGCACTTTGTCTACACCAGCATTGAACGGCACTCGATGATGATCAGCTTTTCACTGACGAACGTGTCCAAGTTCACGGCTGACCTGGAGTTGTTCAATGGCATGGTTGGGGTTGTAGTTGTGATGGCGACGTCGATACTTAGAGGCCAGGACGTGTTGCAGCTGTTGGCCATATACGACGGCTTGGAGCAGGAGGCGTTTCCACCCGTTGGAGTAAACTTTAGGCAGAGTGAAGCAACCAGAAAAATCATTCGCCTGTCGACATTTCTATTCCTCACGCTGTTAAGCTTTGTGATCTATAGCTTCATCTGGATTTTTCCCCGAGTAAATTCATACATTAGCTACTGGGTGGTTGTAAGCTATTTCTCGCCCAATTTTATAGTATGCATTGTTAGCATAGTCATCAGTGGACTGTTGATCAAGCTACGCATCTACCTGAGTGCATTGAATGAGGTGTTTCTGACTCTGAATCACTTCTATGCTTGAGCTAATTATTTTCCTTTTCGTATACTTTCAGGTACTTAAGAACCTGGCCCATCAGTGGGATACACGCAGCATTAAGGCCGTGCAGAAGCAACGCTCACTGCAATGCTTGGACTCTTTTTCGATGTACACGATCGTAACCAAAGATCCCGCTGAGATCATTCAGGAGTCCATGGAGATTCATCAGTTGATCTGTGAGGCAGCTGCCACTGCAAACAAATATTTCACCTATCAACTGCTCACGATCATTTCAATTGCCTTCTTGATCATCGTCTTTGATGCTTACTATGTGCTCGAGACTCTGTTGGGCAAATCGAAGCGCGAGAGTAAATTTAAGACCGTCGAATTCGTGACATTCTTCTCGTGTCAAATGATATTATATTTGATTGCCATCGTTTCCATTGTCGAGGGCAGCAACCGGGCGATAAAGAAGAGCGAAAAGACCGGCGCCATTGTGCACTCGCTGCTCAACAAGACCAAGAGCCCCGAAGTGAGAGAGAAACTGCATCAGTTCTCCATGCAGTTGATGCATCTTAAAATTAACTTTACTGCGGCTGGACTCTTTAATATCGATCGCACGCTCTACTTTACGGTGAGTAGTGGAGTCACTTCATGGATGATATTTATTTATATTATTCAAATCAAAAAATTAATAAAAAGAAATATTCTTGTATATTTCATTTTATTAATTTATTTATATTATTTAAAATTTGTTTATCATATGTATATACAAACATATTTATATTCTTTATTAAATTTTAATTATTGAAATAAAATTTTATAAAATTTCTTCATCTTATACAGGATTGATTTTTATTACTTCAAACTTAATTATAAATTTTATTTACAACGTATTTATACCATATTTTCTCTTCACATTTCAAAATTTACTTTTAAACAAATTATTTATTTTACTCAATTTTTCAGATCAGCGGTGCTTTGACCACATACCTCATTATATTACTACAGTTCACATCTAATTCGCCCAGTAATGAGAGCAGCACCGGCTTCGACTGTTGCGAAGCGTATCATAATATGACGAATCATACAGTTTAGTGGCGCGACGGAGAGGTTTGTCGAGCTGAATCTGGACCTGGTGAAAACACTTGTCGATGTTACGTCCAATGGTTTTTTGGGGCAATAATATTAAGCGGTTTAATTCGATGCTGTTGCTTTTGCATGTATTGTCAATGTATTTTTCATAGATCTATTTATTAGTAGCAATAAATGAAGAAATTTATTGAGCTGATTATATGACATCTGGCAGCAAATGAGGCATAATATAAATTATGGTGTCGATAGCTTTAACTAAATAATCATGGGAAGACAACAGATGCCCTTTTTGTACAAAGATTGACATGAAAATTGGATTAAATATAACAAAAGTAATATAACGCAAATGAATGAAAAGCATATAATATGCTTAGATATACTAAAGGCTAAATCCATTTTCAAACATATACTAAATGTTTTTATATATAATATTTGTATTGTTATATAAAATAGACATTGTATAACATTATCTATTGGATTATTTCTTAAATTTTACATACACTTTTTTATCTAGTAAAAATTAATTTATGGCGACAGCTTTTCTATTAGTGTAAAATGTAGCACGGAAATGAATATCCCTGTTCGTTCAATTAAGCTAATTAATTACAAAAAAATAGTTGGAAAGTGTTGTTAATATTAAGAAAACCCGTTTGCAGATATAATAAAACTCTATATTTATTACCCCTGTTACTTTAGTTTATAAAGTAAATATTGAGTGAATATAGAGTTTTATATATGCATATGAATGAAGACCATATATTTATATACATAATATATATACAACAAGTCGTTTCCCACTCTAAAAGTACAATTTACTTTTTAACTGACGATGAAATAAACCTTAAATCAAACCCAATCTTTTCCAATTGATCCAAAATAATTTCATTTCAAAAACTTGCAAAAAAACATTGCAACCTGTTTCGATTTTCATTCAAAGTAAAATTAAAATTAAATATATTATTATATAAGAAAAGATGAAAACAAAAAAAAAAAGAAAACTATGTGTACAAAATCATTTTACAATTGGCAAACACGTTAATGATTAAAAAAAATTAAAATTGTAACATTAAAATTTTAAATAAAAAAAATATATTTATATTAAGTTATAAAAACAATTTAAAACCACATGAACTTAAGCACTTTTCATATGCATAATCCATTAAAGTCGTCCACAAATTTGTTTACCCTCTTTTGGTCATGGAATTTGGTATGTATGAGTGAATTAGGCTTTATCAGATACATAATTACACGCACACGCACACACACACATTCATACATACATTCATACATACATACATACATACATACATACACACCTGTATATATTTCGTAAATAACTTGTTGCACTTGCTAAGCAGCACCTGACGCTATGCTACGCATTTAAGCTTAATTAAATATTTACCGATATTGATATTAGCTTATTAAGCCGTCCAGTTGTCCAAACGACTTCTGTTCCAGGTGCGCTAACGATGCTGACATATGACCCAGCCTGACGACCTACAACAATTTCGCATTTAGTTAGCGGCGAGCGCGCGAGGTGACCTAACGTGAATTCGCGACACGGCAGACCAAACTTGGATTCGATATGGTTTTGAAGGTGTTGAAGCGCATGTCACAGGCGGATAATGTATTCCAATCGCTGCGTCCGCTCACCTATATATCGCTGGTGGGCCTGGCACCATTCCAGCTGAACCTCAACTCGGACAAGGAGGTGCACACTTCGTCGTATTCCTTCATAGCTGGCATTGTGCACTTCCTCTTCTTTGTGCTGTGCTTTGTGGCATCCATACGCGAGGGCGACTCCATCATCGGCTACTTCTTCCAGACGAACATCACCAAACTGGGCGATGGCACACTGCGCCTTACTGGCATCATAGCCATGTGCACCATCTTCGGATTCGCCATGTTCAAGCGCCAGCGATTGGTCAGCATTATACAAAACAATATCATCGTGGATGAGATCTTTGTGCGCCTGGGCATGAAGCTGGACTACCGCCGTATTCTCCTCTTCACCTTTCTCATCTCCATGGGCATTGTGATCTTCAACGTTGTCTACATGTGTGTCAGCTATGGGCTGCTGGTCAGCGCCACCATTTCGCCATCCTTTGTCACCTTCACGGCATTCGCGCTGCCCCACATCAATATCAGCCTAATGGTCTTCAAGTTCCTCTGCACCACCCACTTGGCCCAGAGTCGTTTCAGTATGGTGAATGAGGTGAGTCCTTAGAAAGTCAAGAAATATTCCATCCCAATGGAATACTTCATTATGACAGACAACTAAAAATTAAAATCAAATCAAATTTAATTGATTTGCTAAATTTAGTTAGCTTTATGTATCTTACTGGATTTAATATGTCCCAAAACAATTTCAAACTGACCACAAGCCAAATAAAATGCAAATTTAATTTTCTGTTCATTTATGAGTTTGCTCAGCGCTGAGAGTTATTCTTGGAGCTGCAGTCGTAAATAAACTAATACAAATGCTTTATAAAATTAGTAATTCCAGCCATAAGTAAAAGGCGAAACAGAAAAGGAATAATATTTCAGAAAGCGATAATGCACATAAGCATTTAAGTTCTTATGCAAACTACTATATGGACTTAGACCTTTATGCAATCAGGAGACAATAAATAGAAACAGAGATTTGAAGAAAAACAAATACGAATAATTCAGTCAAACCCAACCAACTGTATAATACTCCTTCATGGTCCAAACAAAGTTCTTAAATTTCTTCTGCCGAAGTTTTACGAGTTGCCACGCTCACAACGAGGACAGAAAAACAATAATGTGTAAACAATGTGTAGTCTCTACAGATAGATGACTGAAGTAATATCAAATTACGTATGATATAATTACATATTATATGTATATGTATATACGTCGTTATGCTCTTTATTAAAATAAAAATTGATATTTAACCGCTACTTACACAGATTCTCCAGGACATTCTGGATGCTCACATTGAGCTGAACAGCGCTTTGGAGCTGTCGCCCATGCATTCGGTGGTGAACAATCATCGGTATGCGCATCGGCTGCGTAATTTGATCAGCACACCAATGCAAAGGTACAGTGTTACGTCGATAATACGCCAGAATCCAGAGTACGCCATAAAACAGGTGGCCAACATACATAATTTGCTCTGCGACATTTGCCACACGATCGAGGAGTATTTCACCTATCCGCTGCTGGGTATCATTGCCATATCTTTCCTCTTCATACTCTTCGACGACTTCTATATACTGGAGGCCCTGTTGAATCCGAAACGCTTGGATTATTTTGAAGCCGATGAGTTCTTTGCCTTCTTCCTAACTCAAATGATCTGGTACATTGTGATCATATTTCTGATCGTCGAGGCCAGCAGCAGCACCATCAGGCACAGCAGCTGCAGCGCCGCCATTGTGCACAAGATTCTCAATATAACCGACGAGCCGGAGCTGAGGGATCGGCTGTTCCGTCTCTCACTGCAGCTCTCCCATCGCAAAGTCAAATTCACCGCCGCTGGATTGTTTCGCTTGGATCGCACGCTTATTTTCACGGTTAGTCTCCATATAAATACGAATATTTCATTAAAGTTATTTATTTATGGCTCTCATCGGCAGATAACTGGCGCCGCTACATGTTACCTCATTATACTAATACAATTTCGCTCCACTCATCATGTTGAAGACTTTGGAAGTACAAATAATACGGACTATATGTAACTGAACTAAGATTAACATCGTCTTTTAAAAATCTTTGTAATATCAACATTATTAAAACTATTTGTTATCAAAAGTATTTAGTACAGACATTAATTGGATTGGATTATATATGGTAATATTCTTCCAGATGAACATAACTGGCTTACTTTATAGAATCGATCGTTTGTTATTTTAACTTGTTTCTGCCCTTTTCCCATCGGTGTTTATTTTTTTATGTTTTCTGTGTACCTTACAAACGTCTTCGCAGAGCTCCAGTGTTGGGAAGATATTTGAATTTCCAAGGCATCCATTATAAGGAAACATTTCGCACTCATTCGTATCCAAATGGTAGGACCACATATTACGAACTATGTTGCACGTTCCTCTTACACCCGGCGGAAGCCGGCAAATAGCTAAATAAAAATTAAAATGAGGCTCGAATTCAATGAGAAACAATTTATTTAAATTCTATTTCTTACCGTGCTGCCTGTGACCCAAAACAATTAGAAACGGGCCGCAAGCCAAATAAAACACAAAAGCAAATTTCATTTTGGGCCTTTCAAGATTTACTCAGATATTCTTCAGTTCTCGGAGTTGCTAGCACAATTCAACTGAAATGAAATAATATTCAATTGAATGAACCTTTTAAAAATTATAAACGCCAGCCGTAACTAAAAAGCGAATCATGAGAATTATTGACATATTAAAGTGCTTAACAAGACATTAAAACTTTAAACCTCATGCTGCTCATTCTATTATATATAGTTGTAGGCAGATTTTTAATGCATAGGTATATCTTGTAGTATATTAATTTAAAAAAAAAATAAATAAATAAAATAAAATTATAATATTTCATAAATTTATTTCCCTTTATATGCATACACCTATGTATTTTCCGTGTTTTTCAATTCAACACTCTTAAAATATAACGAGCTCTCGTTCAAGGCGTTGCCAGCACATATAAAAGCTTCAAACCTTCAGCAACAAGCAGTGCAAATCAAGCAGTAAATTATATACCATTAAGCAGTGCAGCAACCTTTTCAAAACACGAACTGCAACCGTTAAAAGAGCAAAAGAGACGCGCACAATTGTCCTACTTTCAGCGGTTTGTCGTTCACAGTTCGCTGAAAAGGCGAGTGTGAACTAATTGCCACAGTCTAGCATAATCGCAGACGGACAGCGCTCGGCTTAGGCGCCATCCGTCACTAATCAGTGGTACCAGTAATCCGCATAGTCACGACATTTGGTCACCGCGCACTAGCCACATAATCCAATAAGCGAACTCAACTAGTGTAACGACATTTGATTGCTTTATTGCCTCAGCAGGTGACAATTTTATGTTAAGTCTATTGGATGGCTTTGCTCAATTGTCGAGAAATATTTGCGTTTGCCCAAACAAATGGACTACTTACATTCGAAGCGTAATAAATATATGCATGTATGTAAATGCGAATACATGCATTTATATATATATTTCTAATCAGAATGATTAGCCGCATTGATAAGACCTGAACAATTTGATATCAGTACCATTCGATTTTAATGATTTGTTTACTTTTCCACATACATATGTACAGCCGTCAAAAATGAAATGCCCTCAACACATATAGCAGCTGGAGCTTGTATACGAGGAGAGTGAAATATATACATATGTGCGCTTGTGAAGTGAATGCGTTTGGGGCGTTCGCTTGATAACGCCTTCTACAATTGCTCCAGATTGCCCAGCAAAAATGATTACAATTTTTAATGTACTTAAAAATGCATGTAAGGCTAAATAAATATAGAACTAGGCCACAGTTTAAGCTGCGCTGATCTGACGAATAATTTGCAATTTTCTTGCATATTTCAAAATACATCAGGTGAAAATAAATAAATAATTAGCTACAGTCTAAAGTGCACTGCTTTGATTTGCCTGACTCACAGAGACTCAAGCTTCAAGCTACAGTTTGAGTGGCACTCATAGGATTGCTCATACATTGCAGTTGCAGAGCCACTGACTTGATATTTAATGCATTTTAATTCAAATTTCAATGACACTCATATAGAAATAAGTAAAGTGAAAATTAACGCTAGAACACAAGCACACCCACACACTCGCACACACACCGGCACAATTATGTATGTATGCATAGAGGCAAATATTCATCCGCAGCAACAGCGGCAGCAGCAGCCGCCCGTCCCCAGCTACTTATAGTAAGAACAGAAACGCCGTAGCCAACGTCGAGGCAGCGCCAACGCCAGCCCCGTGAGTTGCCCGTCCGCTAGAGAGGGCCGCGAACAGTCGTAATCGAGCATTGGCGAGTAACGGTACACAAGCGCAATTTACTTAGCACTCGCGTTCGCATTCGCTTTTCACAGTCCGACTTTATTCGTTCGGCTTTTGTCGCGTGTCGCAAGCGCTGCTCGCGCATCCTCAGAGCCTTAGAGCGTGTGGACAAGCTACAAAAGTGAGTTACCGTTGGGCAAACAGAAATCAAAGGATTTCGAACAAAAGTAGCAGCTGATTTCCATAAGAAAATGGAAAATCATAATAAACCAAGAATAAATATTGAACAGAAAAGAATGCTTATTGTTTAATCGCACACAGACTTTTCAAGATTACAAACAATGGACAATGGCCACGCTTATAGATACACGCACACATACACACACACACAAGTACTAAGTACTTGAGCTGTTAATCTAGCTACCGATAGGCCCAGACAAACAATGGCAAATCCAAAAGTAAAAGTACAAACTTTAACTTTACTTAAGGCACATTTTGGTTCTGATTCAACTCGACTGTTAAAGAAATTAACAGCTATTTGGAACTTGTCTATGATTCAGCTAATTAAAAGCCAATTAAATGAACATTGTCAACTCACTTGAGCGCTTTGCTAATCGCTGCTCGTCCCACGAGCCAAAAGAAAACGGAAATGTAATAGAGTAAATAAATATTTAGAGAGCGCTCGGAGCAGTCGGAGCTGTTGCATTTAATGAACATTTAGTGACTGCTAAAAATACGAACAAATTCAATTGCATAGGTCAGGAAGCAATGCTCGCTGACATCTCTGAAGAGGCGAGAGAAGGCGGCATTTGTATCTATATCTCTCTCTAGTGGGAAGCAAGTGCAAAGATATAGTAAATGTCTATTTGTATATATACTTATGTGGTACTTACAATCATAGCAACAATTGCAAATTGCGCTGTTGTCACAAAAAATCGTTTTTAGAGTCAAGTCTATGCCACAATGCCATGTTTGCGGTCAGCTCTGTATTCGAGTCTCAGTCGGACTGTCGATAATATTAATATCTGAATAGGAATCATTTTAGACTAGGCTGCACTTATAACACTTCTCACTGTCTGATTATGCAAAATATATATATATATATATATATATATATATATATGTATATATGTATACATATACTCGCATATCTGAGCATATCTAGTTTCCATTTGTTTATAAAATATTCACGTGTATTTGTGGTTAGAAGTTCTCAGTTCTCACATTAATTTTATATTTGCATAATCAATAGAAATGCAAATAATTTTCATTGACGTAGCTCAATTAAATGATTAACTAGCGTGATTAACTCTCTTGTTTTAATTACAAACTTTATGTGTATACTATATACGAAACATTGCAATTGCTTAGCTTTGCTTATTATAATTTTATTTACTAATCAAAATTGTAAACGATTCAAGCTTGAAACAAAAATATATGTATATAGTTAGTAGATATATTTCCGTCGGCAAAAAAAAAAAAAATTAAGACCCTGTTTTGACTAGAACTAATATTGATCTTTCTTATAGAATTTTATGGTTTATGATTCTTTAAAAATTTTAAATTATATCCAAAAGTCACTTTTTGATTAATTTATATACTATAAATATTAATCAAGTAGCAGTTGATTTAAACCTGCGCCAAGTATGTTATTTTAAACGCTGTTGATCAACAGAGCAATTAAATAAATAATTCATTCATTTCCAGTACACATGTAACTGTTAAAAATACACAACAAAGTAATGCCAGTAGATCTGTAGAGATCAGCGCTGAGCAGCTCGGGACTTGCACGTGAAATTAGTTTCATTTCATTTAACATGTTCATATTTTTCATATTTAGTTATTTCTGCGAGGGGAGAGAGAGGGAGACAGAGAGAGAGAGATCACAGAGCAAAGCAAATAAATTATAGAAATTATAGAATAATATCCAATTTCCGAGATCCTTGTCTATAGTCTATAGTTTTATAGTTTTATATATTGAATACGATTGCTGCAGTTCCCTTGCATGCAAAGATCACAAATGTTAACTCGAGCTCTACTTTTTTTTCGTCAACAATTTGTTGGCATTTACAACTCATTTCTTTCACACTCGAATCACATTGTCGTTTAACTTTTTGGATTTATTATTAAAGTGGAATATCACATGCTTAATTTAATAATAATGAAAAAAAAATGCTTGATGCTTGCCGCAGAGCGCGAATCGCCACTCAGTAGAAGAAGAAGAAGAGACAGAAAAAGAAAAAACGAACCTAATTGAAAGCAATTATTCCATGCAAAGACTTCGACTCTTTTCATAAAATTTAGTCAACATCTGGCCCCTATATACAGATATATATGGGTACCATGGCATGCATGTCATTTTATGTTTTGAGCGTTGATCTTGATTTCAATTAAGTTAAATTCACATTAAAAGTACACGTTAAATGCTCTCTCCAAAATGTGGAGATTGTATATAATATATACTACTTCACTAAATTTATTATATTAAAAAATATATTCGCACACTTAAAAAGCATTCATATTATTCCTGATAAATATAACTAAGTAATTGTCAATCAAAAAGACAATTTGCAACACGTCGAAGATCAGATACTCTATTTTAGGCAGTCACTGTAAAAATCTCTTTAGAAGTTGATATTGGTATTTCTTTTGAAATTATTAATAATATTATGAAAACTAGATGCAACGGATCTACTTCTCAATTTGACAGCTCTATTTATAATAAATAGATAAAATAATAATTTCTTATATGTTTGTAACAATTTTATGAGGATTCCTTCCGAATAAACATTC